CCTCATGGTCACCACACCTTTCTTCATTCTGTGGTCTACTCCACCTACTACCCCATTTGTTATAGTTGATGTGAAAAATGTCCCCCCAGAGATTCAGTGAAGGATTGATTGTCAGCTAATGAGATTTAGGGAACTGATCAGATCACGAGGGTGCCATCCTCATGGATGGATTAATCACAGTCAAAGGGCTGTTACCATGGGAGGGGGCTTAATTGAATGAACAGGTCACTATCGATGTAGTCTGAAAGAGTATATCTTGTCCCTGGATCTTTCTCTGTCACTGCACCCCCCTTATTGGTTCTTTTTAAGTATATAATACAGTTACATTTATCTTGGGATCTTGTACCTTTTCCTGACTTCTCTTGCTTCTTATTTTTTCCCCATACCCCTGCCCTCCCTTTACCACCTCCACCCTTCCCTACTTATAAAAACGTTGTTTCCCTTTTCTCTTATTCTTTCTTTTCCCTTCTTACCTTTCCCTACCCCCTCACTTCCTCTACACCTTTAGACCTTTTTTCCTAGTACACAATATCAATTATACATTTTGATTCTTATTTACATTTTTAGGTTTTCACACCAAAGAAACCATTTGGTATTTACACCTGTGTGTCTTATTTATTTCACTTAGGAGTGTGGCCTCAATATGCATCCATTTTCATATAAATAACTCAAGTTTCTCATTCTGTATGGCTGAATAGTACTCCATTTTATAGAAAAACCACATCTTCTTTACCCAGTCTCCAACTGATGGGCAATTGGGCTGTTTCCAAGTTTAGCTATTACAAACTGTGCCACTATAAACATAGGTGCACATATATCACTATGGTATGATTCTTTTAATTCTTTTGGGAAGATACCCAGTAGAGGCTGGGTCAAATGGGACCTCTAATCCTAGTTGCCTGAGGTATCTGCATATCGATTTCCACAGTGATTGCACCAGTCTGCACTCCTACCAACAATGAAGAAGGGTTCCTATAATTATTATAAGTCTGAGGAATGTTAGAATAGCAAGAAAGAGACTTATATAATTTCAAAGACCTGCAATACCAACTGGGACTTTATGTGAAACAGAAGTAGATTTCTATCTCCTTTTAGGTCACTTTATTTTGGCTCTCTAGCTTTGGTCTGATACTTACCTTTATTTCCATATACATTCATTCTGTGGGCTATTCTATTGATGCCAACCCTGAAATAGAATTGGCTATTTAAACTTATATGAACATATTTTAACATATGTTATATGTAACATATTGCATGTAACATATGTTTGTGATATTCTGTATTTAACAGATGTAAAATGTAACATATTGTAACAGTTATAGCTATATTACTGAATCCCAGCCCATTCTCAGATCTGAATGTTTGACTCTGAGAAAGATGGACCTCTAGAGCTTCACCTTCCACTGTGCTTTGGAGAAAGAAGTTACTATGTTTTCTCTAAACATAGGTCAAAAATGATTCCTTCAGTCTGTTCTAGAGGCTCTGCCTTACTCTTTCCGGTGGAATGCCCTGATATCACAAAGACAGTAAAATCTCCCAAGTTACCATTAACCTGCTCTGTTCCCCTTTTCTAGCTTATTCCCGGAGTTTGAGGAAACCGCAACTTCTGGGGATAAGAGTCGCAGATGTCACCTGGAAAGGAGAGAAGCGAGGAGCTCAAATCTAAGTTCACATGAGGAGAATTCACAGGGCAGTAGAGGGCAGGAGAGAACAGATTCAACACCTAGTTTTGAAATCATCCTTTATAGTGAAAGGAAATTAAGATGGGTCAGGAGTCAGCCCTAAGTGACGTGGAAAGTAATGATGCAGTTCCTAGGCAGTCACAGCGCTTGATGGCTGTAAGGGGTCTCGTCCCTTTGGACTCAGTTTACCGATAAACAAAATATCTCGCAGGGCTGCTCTGAGGATGAAGTGAGACGGTGAAGGTGAAGTTAAGTCAGAGACTAGCATGCAGTAAGCGCTCAAAGATTGGGGCTTAGAAGGATCCAGTGATTAGCTTGAGATGGCATAAGCTAGGAAATTGGTGGTGTGGGGAGCTGGCACATGCCTTGGAGAGCAGAGACTGGCCACGTTACCTATCACGATGAGAAACAATCAGAGGAGGGATGGGGCTGGTATGTGGCTGTGGAAATGGCCTTGGTTTGGGACATAAGAGACACAGACAGGGCCCAGGGAGGAGATGTTGGTGTAGGTTTGGATTTTAAGGGAGATCACGGCCAGAAGTGACCTTTTCCTCACAATCATCTTTCCAAATGTATGTAAAGTTATACTCATCAATATCCCCTTCCCAAAAGCCAGGTATCCGAGCTTAATAAAACTGTGTGATCAATATTATTGTGAAATTTTAAGGTGGTTTTAGTCTTTGTGTTTGACTATGTATCTCTCTTGTCAAATTTTTTCATGGTTCCATGGATTTATTAACTGTAATAAAAAGGCTGTAACTCAAAACCTTCCCCAAGTCAGTATGAACTTTAAAGATTTCTTTATTAAAATCTGTCCTATTAAGAGATTAATTAGCTTCCCATCAAAATAACTTTTTACATTTCATCTCTTTCAAATATAGGTAATTTTTTCAACTCTTTTAAATGTGTGCATAATTTGTTTATTTAATATTATTTGAGGAGTAGATTCCTATTTTAGGTTATGTCACAATACAAACGGGAAAATAAATCTTTAGTACTCCTAAAGTCTCAGTCTGTCTTGCTTCCTGGCAACACCACCCACTCCCGGCCTCCCACAAAGCACTTTACCGCACTGTTAGTGTGCAGTTATTTGTGTGTTTGAAGCCACAGATGAAAATGCTTTTGTGCTTGAGATCGGCTGGCTGTGGTGTCTGAAGACCATACAACTGCATATTGCAAAGTATGGCATACTGTGCTCTCTTGGCCAAATCTGGCTTGCCACATGGTTTTACACGGCTTATGAGGTAAGAATAGTTTCCATATATTGAAATGACCGAAAGACAATCAAAAGAAGACTTCCCTACTTACCACCTGTGTGAGAAGATATTTTCAAAGGTGAGCATAAAATTTTACTGCAGAGAACCATTAACAGATGAACACTTGTAATAAACACTGATGGTAGGGAACATTCGATTTAAAGTCAAAGTAAAATATTATCTCACTCGCCCTACTTCGTTACTAGATCTGTATTACAAAAGAATACACTAAGTGACTAGTATGTTTTAAATATTATCAGTAAAGGGTAATGGAAGATTTTTTTCTCTCTTGTTTTCCTAGTACTTATACAGTGACCTGGATTTTGCTCTTGGTCTGCAAAGATTAATAATGTATTTATTATCTGGGTCTGTACAGAAAATATTTGCCAAGTTCTGATATATAGTGTCAGTTTATAATACTGCTGTGGTGGTTGGTTCTGTGAGTCACTTGGTATTATGGCTTGTGTCTAGATGTCCCCACAAAGCCTCATGCAGTCATAGGTGGGTCTTTTTCAGAGGTGGCTGAATCTAGAGTGTGTGAGTGATTCATGGTGCAATGCAAGGACTAAGGGTGCTAGGATTAAGGGTGGGTGACCATTAAATCAGCCCACTGATTGGCTTGGCACCACCCTAATCCTTGTAGCCTGGATATAATATAAGGGACAAAAAGAGGCTTATCTCCTCTACTGCTTGCTTTGCTATCTTCTACTGACATTAACTATTTGTTCTCTGCAATGCCTGTCTGCCTTGAAGCCAGTTGACTATGGACTGAAACCTCTACGAACTGTGAGCTAAATAAACTTTTCTCCCTCTAACTTTGAGTGTTGTTTCAGCAGTGAAAGAAAAGTAACTAAGACACTGGGAAAGGCTCTAGTCCCCAGCCATTTAATCAACTATCAATCGTGGCATTGCTAAAAAGCATTTTGAGATATAACTAACATTTACCATCAGTTGACCTTAAATAAGGTAGATTATCCTCAATAATCTAGGAGGGTTGGTCCAGTCAGGCTGAAATTCCTTGAAAAAGAAGAAATTGCCATCTCAGGCAGTTTTACTTCTTGTCTGAGAATATATGTGTGTGTGTGTGTGTGTGTGAGTGTGCACACACATAATATGCATATTGTAGTAGTTCTGGTCCTTGTGTGGCGCTCTGATTAATCCAACTGCTTTTTGTAAAAGACATCATCCGATTTGCGCTGCTAGAAAATGGAAAAGAATGATTCCAAGTAAAATAAAACTGGTACAATATTTGGTGATAGCTGCCTGTCCGCTGTGATATCGCCATCTTAATGACTCTAGAGTAGAGCAGAAAAGGGTAGTGAGAGTCAAGAATAAAGAAAGAAAATTCAGAAAGACTTAGATTCACTCCCTTCACTGAGATTCCACCAGACCTGTTCCTTTTAGGATAGACTCGGGCTTTGTGGAAAAGATGTTTGCACTGGGATAACCCTAGCACTCCTTTCCTGGCTGTCAGGGAGCCGTGGACCTCCTGGCACTGCGGTAAATTGTGTGCTTGGATGTTTTCAGGGTGGAGCTTTTTTAGCTGCCATCAGATTTTCGAATAGGCCCCTGGCACCAAAAGGTTAAAAAATACAAAGGACTTCACTCCAGGTGGCCGTCACCTGCTGTGTACACTGTCTTGTCTAATCCTGTTGATAATCATACAAAGTAGGTACTAGCATCCCATGTTACAGACAAGAACACAGAACCTTTGAAACGTTTAGTAATTTGTCCTGCCCTGAATTTGAACCTAGACCTGACACCAAAGCACGTGGTAAGACAGGGTCTCCTCCTCAGTAGCGTCAGAAATCAGGGGACTCTGCATTGCAGCGAATGAAAGGCAGGGCCCTAGGTACCTGTCTGGCCGTTGCGCACTGACCCAGGGAAGAAACTTATAGGGGTGGCCCCCAATTTGCCGGGGCGGTCTAGACATAGCCTCTCAGTGTGCCCATGCCTAGGAGAGTGGGGAGGCGACAGCGGGAGCCCTCAGGAGGGGAGGGCGGGCTCTAAGAGAGGGTTTGAAAAGAGGAAGGAAGTGGGGCCCGGCTGAGCGCCTAGCCACCCCTCCCGGCTTCACCACAGAAGAACGCGAGGCCCTGAGGCCCCCAGCCCAGCCATGGCCCCCTGGCGCAAAACTGACAAGGAGCGGCACGGTGTGGGTAGGTGTGGGCTTAGGTCCTGGCGAAGTAGGGCAGATGGCCTCAGAGCCGCACTCAGGAAGATGCCGCGGGACCTGGGAGCGGGCAGGGCGCGCTGACTGCAGGGCCGGGGCGCAGGGCCCCCCTCAGCTGCTGCAGGCCAACTGGGTGCGGAGGAGGAAGCTCAGGGAGAGGAAGGTGGGCACCCTGTCCGCAGCCCGCACCCATCCTGGCCTGACTCTCCGTCCGTGGCAGGACGCCTCCCCCGAATGTGTGTGAGATGGGCTCAAACTGTGTGCTTGGTACCGGGCTCCTGGTGTCAGGCTCGTCCTCCCAAGTGTGGATGCGATGGCCGCATAGTGGAAGGAGCCTGCCCTCTCCCCTAGGTTGGCCTTGACGGGCTCAGCACGCCTCCTTCCACCCTTCTACAAATCTGTACGCATCCGCTGGTTCCTCGCCTGTTCCTCCTGGGTCAGATGACCCCTGATCTGGCACAGCATGTAGAGGGCAGTGCGAGTTTGGGGTGTGTATCGGTGGGCGAGGTCCTTTACTGGGCTGAGCGCCCCTGGGAAGAAGGACCACCTGGGCGGGTGGTAATCAAAAAGCCAGCCTTATCACCTTCAGCCATCTCAGCTTTTAGAGGCCTCTGCTGCCAGCTCAGGGGCGGAAGTGGTAGCTGGGGGAAGGGAGGTGGCAGGTACTGTGACTCTTTCTAAGTGGCATCTGTGATGCAACCTCATAAATTTAAGCGTGAATGTAAAGCCTCTCTCTCTGGTGATTGCTACACAGGCAGATACCAGACTCTATCCCATAGATGATTTCAGCCACATTAGACCACCCAAGTGCCCAGGGAGATCAACATTCACCCTTTCACAAGCTGGGTGTTGAGAGGAGTGGTCCCTATCCAGAAAACAAATAATGATCCTATGGGGTCTCTGTCTACAAAATGGAAAGTTTGAACCACACTGATTAAAGACATTCTTAACTTCAAACCTTCTCATATCCTTGCTCTCCCAGCTGGTGGGCATCAGGCTAACTACACAGGGGGACAGGGAGGCTATCGAGTGGGGCAGGCCCAATACCCGTAGGGACCGGCGTGACCTAGGAGTCAGGAGCGGGCATAAAGAACATATCCAGGGAGGAAGGAACTGCTGGCAGCATCTTTGGCCTGGAGAGGGAGGTGCAATGAAGGGGATGGTTCGGCTCAGAGGAAGCTGGTGCTGTACTTTGGAGGATTGTGAATGCCAGGCTCAGGGGCTGGGGCCTCTTCTAGTTAAGCAGTAGGGACCCGTAGAGGGCTTCTGAGGAGGAGAGGGCATGAACAGGTCTCTAGGGCAATGTGTAGGGAGGCTGAGTGGGCAGAAGGGCAAACGTCCCTGGGCAGTAGACAAAAAAGACGGTGTTCGTAGGCCCCAGTAATTAGGGCTGTTAATAAGGGAGCCAGAGTGTGGTGGAACAGCATCCTCTCTTGTCACCCTGAGAGCTACAATCCGTAGCTGCACAGTCCTTTTGCTGTGGTGTGAAGTCGTGGGCTCTGGTTCCAGACTGCCTATTCTGGATTCCAGTTTCCAACACTTTCCGCATCTGTGAACTCAGGCAGTTTACTTATTCGCTACAGGCCTCTGTTTCCTTGTCTGTATAATGGGGTTAATATGAGCACCTGCTTCCTATGGGTGTGAAATAAACTAAATGAGCTTATCTGCAAAAAATGCCTAGAGTAATGATTATGTAGGGGATTTCTTACAAAATATTATTGATGTTTATTTTTAGACTTTGTCCCGTGGGCCCTAGTTGAGGGTATGATGTCACAGAACGGGTGGGGTTACAGAACGCCTAGGATTGTCAGTCTCTCCAGCAGAGGCTAGCCCATTGTGTGGACTTGGGTAGGATTCTGTTAGGTCCAAGCTCCAGAGGCTTCTTGATTTGCAGGCAGAACTGATATTTTTGGTTGCATATTTGTGAAAATGTGGGACTTATCGAGGCCAGTCTGGGCTACTTAGTGAATGCAAGGACAGCCTGAACTATATAGCAAAAAAAAAGAAAAAAGAAAAATAAAAATCCCCCCCAAAAGGAAGAGAATATGCGACTTAGAATGTTTGTGACCCTACAGTGAGCCAGAAACCACTGATCAGTGCCTGCAGCTCAAATCAATCTCTTCTCCCTGCAGGCAGATGGCAGAACTAGTTACTATAATTGCCAGTCCTTGTCTGTGGGCTCTGGGTGGATGGAAGAGAAAGGCAAGGCTTAGGTTGTGGCTTAGGTTGATATGGGGGAGTGGGTCCATCTAAAAAAGAAAACAAACAAAAACAGCAGTTGTCCTGAGAGTGGGGACGTGGGGTCCTGTCTCTGGCACCACCACTACCACAGATCGATCTGTGCTCCGATTACTCCCTTTTAGTCCGTGTATTAACACTTTTCTATTGCAAGGTACTCTTATGTGAAGATCTCTTGAGATGACAGATATGAGGACTTGGAAGAAGACAAAGTAGAGCTTTGTGAGGGGCACCTCTGGAGGCTGTTCCATTGGTTTCCTCTGCAGAACTGGTAGCACTTTGGCCATCCTTCCTGTGGTCTCATTGACAAGGGCTGCCAGTATCTGCTGGTGGAAAGGAGGGCTAGAGGAGGCCATGGTGTCACCAGAACCATGTGCTTCCTTAGTTTTCTTGCTGCCTGGTGGGCCGCCAGGTGATCCTTATGTTGGTTTTTGGCCAGGACTTTCCTAGCCTTGACGTACTCCAGACAGTTCCAGAGAAGATCTAGGATAGAAGTGGGGTAGACAGACAAGGCTGTGTGCTCACCAGCCCGTGTGCCTCAAGTAGTTATATACAAGATTAAAAGATTGGCCTATGAAGTCAGAACTAACTTCAAATCTGCACCATAGGTCTCACGAGATTGCTGTGAGGACTGAACAGGGTAATGAAGGTAAAGCACTCAGTAATATGCCTGGCTCAATAAGTGACTATGAGTGAGAATAACTGATTGAGGGCAAGGGACTAATCGTGTATAGCAGTTGCAGAACCGAGAGAGACAGTGAGGTACCCAATGGCCAGTTCAGAACAGCCATGCTTTGTAAGAATGTAGTGTTCTAAGGTTTGTATTCTCATGCAGGATCTTTGTCTGAATTCATAATATCCACATGAGGCAGTCTACTGTGAGTGCAATTTTACAGGTAAAGAAACCAAGTCCTAGTGTCCCATAACCTGGTGTAAGGAAGCCGACCCTTAATTTCATGGCCATTGGACTATGGGCCCTTTGTGCTGTACCAGGAGAGCGTCTTGAGTAAAGGCAGAAAATGGGATGTGTATCGCATATGGAGCAATCAATAAACCCTTGATTTGACTTAGAAAATGTTGGTAGATAAAAAAAAATGGGAGGGGTAGACTATGGCCATATTTACAATTTTGCTTGCCATGTTGAGTTTGGATTTCCTTCTGTGAGCACTGTAGTTTTGAGCAGAAATTGTCACCTGTAAGAGGCTAATCAGTTAACTGGGGGGGCGGCAGCGATCAAATATAAACTAAAAGGGAAATAGGTAACAATTTTACTTGTCCACTAACTGCCTGAGTAGTGGATGTAGAAGAAGGTCGCTTCCAATTAACATTACTATCTTAATCCTCTCTGCCTGAGACTCTGGGCAGTGAATAGCTTTCTCCTCAGAGGAGAGAGGAAAGGCCAGAAAAGGAGTTAAAAGAGAAAATATCAGTACCGGTTAAAGTATGACTACGAGTGAATGAAAACTTCTAAATTGTAGCTTGACTGAACTACGCATTCATTTTTTTTCCTCTCACATGGAAAGCCCAGGCCATGAGGGTGGTAGGGCAGCTCATCACATCTCTTGCTCTGCCTCCTTGGCATGTTGGTTCTGCCTCTGATCCAAGCTAGCTGCATAAGCTTCAGCTATCTGGTCTTTTCCCAGACCTCAGGAAGGATGAAAGGAGGATTAGAAAGGGCATGGCCCTTTCCTTTAAGGACACATAGCTGAAGATATGCTTGGTATTGCCATATCCTATGGCTAAAACTTTTATGTCCCAACCTACCTGCAAGGGAAGCTGGGAATGCATTCTGTTTTAGAGGCAGCTATGTGCCCAGCTTAAAAGTAGCCTCTCTGTTCTAAAGAAGGAGGGAAGAAGGATATTGAAGATGACTCATTCACTTTTCTAGGGCTGGCATAATAGAGTCCAAAGATCAAAGTTCCATCAGTGTTGGTTTCTCTTGTGGTCTCTCCTTGGTTTGCAGATAGATGCTGTTTGCTGCCTTGTCACGTGCTCGTCCCCTTGTGCATCTATATCTTTGATGTCTCTTCATCTTCTTATAAGAATATTACTCATACTGGATTAGGACCCACAATAATGGCCTCATTTTAATTTATTTACCTCTTTAAAACATGTATCTGCAAATATAATTATATTCTAAGGCATTAGGGATCGAACATACATGCATTTTAGGGAGACAAAGTTAAATCCAGAATAGCTAGTCTGTGGCTTCTGGCCTGGCATTTAGGGACTATAAAAGAGGGTTTCAAAAGGCTGGGGTCTTTGGGCAGAGGTTTAGGATCGAGGTTTGTTTGCCCTAGTACTGGACCTGACACATTTGTGTGGGGCCTCAGTTATGCTCACAGGGAGAAAAGAGTCTCTACTCATCTTATGTTCTCAGGCTGGAGCACTAGAAATTAGACTAACAAATGACAGATTAATCAGAGTAAAACTAACAGAGGTTTGTTCACGTGTACATCGTGCCCACACATGAGAGTGCCCAGAGATGAGAAACTCAAAAAGTTGGTTTGTACTTGGGTTTATACACTGTCTTAGCAAAGGAACAGTGACAGTTTTAGAGAAATAATAAAGGACAAAGAAAAGAGTTGTATGCTTTCAATGGCAGCAAACTATATGGAAGATAACTTTTAACTCAGGCAGGTCCCCCTTTCTGTCCTGTTTGTGGCCATAGCCTTCCCTTGGAGAGGGAATTTAGGGCTGATCTCATTTCTTTGAAGAGTCTGCTTTTAGTCAGATAAAGAAAGATCC